AAAAAATCTTTCATTCCTTTAGAGACAGCATGAAAAGTCAGCTGAGTACAAAACATAGAGAGGAAAACAAGAAGAAAAGGGACAAGAAGAGAGGGACACAACCTAGAACAGATAATGGATGTCTATTCTATTAACATTTCTCTATCTGGAGAATGGGGCTGTTTGATGTGTTGTATTCTTCAATAAATGGGCCCCCTGCCGGTCTTTGCCTAGGGCTCCAGATTTCCTAAATCCGCCCCTGATTTGAAGGCCGCTGCACTAAAAGACTGAATATTTCCTCATTTGTCAAACCGATGCCAAAGTATAACTTCACCAGATGCTCAACATTCCTCATTTTAGAGAAGAAAGTGCTTCTGGTTAGAGTTCCAATACAATACAACTTTATTCTCGTAATGTTAGTTAATATATTTCAGTCAAACATTATTGCAACTATGTTCAGTTTACCGTCTCTGCAAATATTTGGTATAAAACTAAACTCTCCAAAACAATAATTTATGCTTTAATAATTTAAACCCCATTCCATTTAAATACTAGACCTTGGTTTAAACACTATAACCTTCATACAGATTTGCACTGAAAGAAAAAGCTGTCAGGCTTCAGTTATTATGAACAATATGTGTTTAAAGATGGAAGCCAGCAAGGATTTCCTAAAGTGTTGAATGTCTGGGAAAACTGGCTGATAAGTGTCAAAATAAGGATTCTGCAGATGCCATCGCATTTACCCTGCATGTTACATGTTTTAAAGATGTTTTATATGGCGTGGGTAATAAAAAAATAATTTTATTCTTAATGGAGTTTAAATCCAAGAGCAACAGTTTGTTTATGCTCAGGTGAAAACTACAGCAGTGGAAACAAATACTAGTGTTTTTAAATAGTATATATTTATCTGTTGTGGATCATGTTGCACTGATCGTTTTCCTGTGATCATTACATACATATAATTTATTAATTTTACTTATTTAAAACTGGGATAAGTTAGCTTAATGTGTTTCTAATTTATTCCTTTGTGAAATGTCTGTAAATATTGTTCGTATAATAAATGCTGGATGTCCATTTACTCACCCCTCTGTCCATTTTTTGTAAGATAAACTGAATTAATATTCATTTTTATTTCCGTCAGTGAATATATAACAATAGGCCTCATGCAAGAAGCCTTCTTATTAAAAGAAAAGGTTCTTAAATCGTTCGTAAAAGTGATTTAGGATTCACCATTTTTCTCATAAAGGTCCGCCTCACAGCCGGAATATCCAAACGCAGCTGTGGAGATAATTAACATTTTTACTAGTATGCAGTTGATCACATTTTCTCAACTGGAAGACGGGGAAAAGGGGGCCCTTCCTGTCCTGCTGGGACTTACTTCATGGGAAACATCATGGACTCCTGGAAGGCGTGGAGGATGGTGTGTTTCACAGAGCTGTCAGTGGACGATGTAGAAGCTGTGTGGATTTAT